CTACTGCCCAGCCTCTTTACTTTGCCACCGCGTAGCTTTCAAATGACGTCATTTCGCCATCCGTAAAATTTCTGTCCGACCGTAAACACGCTTGTCCGATGGATCCGATCGATCGATCGGACCATCTGACATTTGCCACTAATATGGCGTCGTTTAAAAACATGGAAACTTAGAGAAAAAAAAATTGAAAAGTATAACAGTCCGACTTATTTGTCATGCCTGACTGTTGTAATAGTTCTTATATTTATGTTATGAATTAATATCACGTTATGCTTTATTTGTCTACGTGTATTTCTCCATCGGACAAACTTTTCTCCGACGGTAGAGATGTTTGTCCATCGGATCAATCGGTAGCACATGTATGATGGATTTCTCCATCGGACTCCGATCGTGGGTATTGGACATCAATCTAAAAAAGTGGGCAAATTACATCATGCATGTTCTCTACCAGAAATTCTGATGCTAATTGGTTATTATAAGTCACTTAATCGTGTTCTTTTATAACTTGTATTTACTCGAACCATCAGTGTTACTATAGATATATCGCTACTACAACTTGCTATTTTGTTCTTGTTTCAATAATTTTTGCTCTGTAGCTCGAGAGATGATTCGCAAACTTTCTTTAGACTTCGTATCAATTCCATTTGGTCATAACTCTCGCTTGTATCTTCGCTCTCCTGTCCAAAAAGCTCTAACCTGATATCAAGTGCCTGTTGACATGACTCCAGAGCAGAATCATAATCTTGTATTTCGCACTGACATTCTGCAATCGAATAGTAGCTTGTAGCGACGGCTGGGTGTTCCTTTCCATACAGCGCCACTCTAATATCAAGGGCTTGCAGATGCCAATGCGCAGCTGAATCGTACTCTTTCAAGCGATATTTTGTCACTCCAATACAAAAATAAATGCGGGAAACGGCTAAGTGGATTTTTCCGTAAAGATTTTCTCTGATATCAAGTGCTTGCTTGAACGATTGCAGTGCTGATTCGTAATCTCTTTTATTAAGCTGAACAACTCCAATCTCGTAATAGCTCCCGGCGGTATCTGCATGATTGTACCCATAAAGCTCCAGTCTGATGTCTAGTGCTTCATAATGAGATTTCAAAGAAGCGTCATAATTATTTAGTTTGCCTAGAGTTTTTCCAATGTAATGGTACCTTGCGGCTGTATCCGCGTTCAGCCGACCGTTTTTTGCTATAAAATTATCAAGAGTGAGCTGCAACGCCTCTGGACTCTCTTGCTTTATTTTGACCCCTTCCACGGCGGTTTCAACGAGTAAGAGAAGTGGGCGGTAAAGACGGTCGTTCTGTGCCTCGACTTCGACTTCTTTCTGTAACTTGGAAATGGACAAACCAAGTTTATATATAACCTGGTTCATGTTATAGCCTTCCGCAATAGAGTGGATGAGAAGACCAAGCTCCAAGACAAGTGGTTCACTTTTAGCTTTCAGGCTTTCATTCTCTTTCTCGTCAGTGCAATTATCCTCTTGTAAAGCTTTGAAGAAAGCATACAGGGATGGTCTCTTAGCGCATTCAGTTAAAACAATGTTCCGGTAATAAGAAATCTTTTTTCTCTGAGTACCAAACAAAGCAAGAATCTGGAAGCTTAAAAGCTTAAGTACAGTATTTTCAGAACTCAATAGAGATATCCCGTTTTCAAGAATTTTGCCTCCTTTTGTTGCCGCTCTATGTATTAGCAAGTGAATCCCATGGTAACACATTCGTTTTCCCATGATAACTTTTGAAGTAAGAAGAGGATTTTGCTTCTCTATTTGTTCAGCCTCTTTTAGTAATGGCAATGTATTTCCATCAGGCCAGGTTATTTCATAAACAGCTTTAGCAATTAGCAGTTGGTGGACAGCTTTAAATTTACGCTGCTCTTTTGCCTCAACTATTGCTAAATTATAAATTTTGCTGAACATCCAGCCATCATGCTCATAGTAGAAAATGGTATCCAAAAACAGATCCGCATCGGAAAGAACATCGAAAATTGCGTCACAAACAGCCTCGTTTTAAAGATCTTCGGAGAGACAATGTACCATATTTTGTTTGTTAAATTCGAAATCGCGAAATACGAGCAGAGAATTTCCAGCAAGAAACTGGTTATTTAGATCTTCAAACAACTTGATGTAATAATTCAGGAATCGCTTTTCCGCATCGCGAGCAATTTCTTTCATGTCAGCTGCTTTTTCTAAACCAAATGACCTGATCAGAGGGTGAAAAGAAAGCACTGCTCCGGAGGAATTTCCATCAACCAAATATTTTCTCTTGAGTCTCAACAAAGTTTTCTTTGCTGTGTTTTCATCTCCTCCAATGACGTTTACTGCAGCTTGCTCGTCGAACACTTCACTGACAAAAACTGAAAGACAAACAAATGCTTCTTGCTCTTCGCGAGATAGTCTTTTAAAATAAGACTCAAACAAGAGATTTAAACGTTGATCACTAGGCGCGTCTGGATCGTCTAACAACGCTACTATTGTTTTTGAAGAGCGGCTAAAGTGGTCAAGGAATTGAGACGCACTCTTCTCCTCAACGATTTGACCGCACAAAAGCTTGATAGCGAGCGGAACGTCTCCACAAATCTCAGCCACTCTGCAGCATTCACTTTCATCAGCAGCAGGAACAAGTTCTTTAACAAGCTTTTGTGACGATTTCCTGTCTAGCGATGCAACATCGACAAACGTATGACCAGCAAATTTTCTTCCTAGTACCGTTTGAAGACTCGTTCTTGTAGTCAGTAGAAAGGACACATTCTTGCAATGTGAAAAGATCTTTTCCAAAAGGTCCAAAACTTCTTGGCTCGTTTCACCACCACTCTCAAAAAGGACATCGGCGTTATCGAGGATGATGCAAATACTGGAAGGAATTGCACTGAGAAGTCCGCACAGTTTTGAACGCTCTCGCCCTGTTACATCAGACGATGTATGTGCAAATGTGTTTAAGAGATCAGAGATTAGTTCTTCCGCTGTCTTGGCGCTTCTCAAGGAAAGGAAATAAACTGGTAGTCCGAGCTGTCTAAGTTGGTGTCCTGCTGCAATAGCCAACGAGGTTTTGCCAAAGCCAGGAGGTCCAGATACAGATACTAGCCGTGTAGATGTGGACATCAACGTGCGCGAGATATCTTCCACTTTTTGTTGTCGACCAACGAAATGGGGCACCATGGGAGGAAGGCAAGTCTTAGGCACAGACTTGTCAAACACTGCGGTCAAATATAGAAAAATGGTTAAACTGTAGACTTTATCTGCTAGATTAAGGGCGGGCGGAAGAGCCTAAGACAACAAAGCACCGGCTTGTTTTTGAAAGTTATAAAAAAAGTCGTGGTACCCATTTATATATACTGTACGTGTACAAGAACTTGTGGTTAGAGCTCGACAACTGAACTCTGTAACTCACTGAGTTGATTAGAGCGTTGCATCGGAATCGCAGGGCGGCAAATCATAGAATTGGGTAAAAAATTACAACGTCATGTGACCCGAACACTGTTTCTTGATTAGACAATTTTACGTTGAGGTGTAATATTTTATTACAAGTATATATAAAATATAGTGTTTTATTGATTTTCCGCAACTAATAAAAGTTATAATCTCGCGCGTGCGATTATGCTTATGACAGTTGCACGTCACATGTGATGATTACCACTGAATCAACATTAACGTACGCCGAGGCACACCGGATGCGATGTGGCAACGCGGCGCGATTTTTCAGTTTTTGAAAGTTATTTTGAAAGGAAATTTTAAAAGATATGTAAAGCAAATAATTGAAAATTTTATAGCGCTTCTAAATAATTGAAAAACGTAAACCTGGATCAAAGTTTTTGGTCAGCGAAAATGGAAAAATCGCTCCGCGTTGTCAAATCACGACGTCTGCTGTGCCTCGGCCTTTATAGTTAAATTACTGCATTTTTTGTATAGGTAATACGATGGTTTCTATGAACGCAATTCGGATTCCGGATAAAACATGCATGATCGAGTGAGTTTTTCAAAGGGCATCCCATCAAAAAACCACGAGTGCGAACTACGAAGGACGAGTGATATTTGAGGTCTAAAAACTCATTAGTGCTTGCGGTTTTATCCAAATTTCACGAGAAACCATACTATTGCGTCTTAATAAATATACATAAATTTTTTTGAAAAAATGGAAGTTTTAACTAACGTTTATAGAAAATCGTGCAGTGACAAAGTTTTCTTGATTTCTTATTATCACATTATACATTGGTAACGGCTTGGAAATTTCACTCAACTGTGTCAGTCTTTCATTTTAAAAAAGGTAAAAGCCATAGTTTTCACCCGAACTCAACTTTTACTTCATATAGCGTGGCCACCATGTTTGTTTTGTTTGAAGCAATCTGTGACTGTTACTTGAGGACTGCTTTAAGCTGGTTGGTTGAACCAATCAGATCAGTTTGTTACAGAATTTTGCACTGCTGTTTGAGATTTTAACTGCACTGAAATCAACCAATCACAATCGAGGAAAATTTTTATGTATATTATAAAAAGGTATAGTAGGACATTTATTTTACATTTAAGATTATAATATAGCGTTTGCAAATTCTGAACGCTGATTCGCTAAGAGCCGTGTTGATATAACTCAATGTCAACACGGAAACGTTGGAAAATTTCTGTCTTTATGTTTCTTTGCGCTATGTTATAAAACAAATTTCAAAAACTCATTAACAATTCATGAAGCAATTATCCAATCTTGAGCAAGAAATTAGTCACGTGCATACGTCTTTATACCAGCTAAAGAACACTTTAACAAAAGACCATTGGTATGCAAACTATATAAAGATTTTTATATAAAGATTTTTATATAAAGATTTTTATATAAAGATTTTTATATAAAGATTTGACTTATTATGCATTCGTTTTTGAAGTCATTTAAAAAACTCGCGGGTCGTGTTTTATTAGGTCTAAAGCCACTCGCGCTGCGCGCTCGTGGCTTTAAACCTAATAAAACACTCCTGCTCGTTTTTTAAATAGTACTTCAAACATCATTAATAATTCATAAACTTATTGGCAAATCATGTCAACCATAATATGTCACGTGCAGTGGCTTTAAACCTGATAAAACACTCCTAATTAGTATTCTTTATATAAAGAATACTGATAAGGCAGTATCTATTGTAGTCGTGTCCTCATTAGTATTTTTTATATAAAGAATACTAATAAGTCAGTATATCTATTGAATTTGTAGTCGTGTTTGAAGCCGTTTAATAAACTCGCAGGTCGTGTTTATTAGCTCTAAAGCCACTCGCGCTGCGCGCTCGTGGCTTTAAACCTAATAAAACACTCCTGCTCGTTTATAAAACAGTACATAAAACATTTCCCCCTTATTCATATACAGTTATATCAACACACGTGGAAATTGGGAAAACTCAAAATTGTGTGAAATTTCTCGTTCTCCCAATTTTCACTCGTGTTCATCGGAAATACAAAATTTATCTCTCTTGTTGACAAAGATATTCTGGTCAACACTCGAAATTAATTTCATAATTCCACATATCCATGTACATTCTAAAAAACATCCTGGTTAAAAATTCGTGGTTAATCTAAAATTAACATTGTTTGGGGAAACTTAATCTTCCTGGTTTCATTTTCTGGTTAGTTTACCCACAGACAAGGTTAATTTGCCTTGGCTAATTTAACCAGGGTCCCTGGTTAATTTAACCAGGCTATATAGTTCTATTAACGGGATCATGGTACGTAAATTATAAATTTTTTGGTAAATATTCTCTCTAACAAGGTCTGGTTAATTCAACTATATAGCCTGGTTAAATGAACCAGGAATCCTGGTAAAAGGCAGGTGTGTATTAAAGCGTATTATTCTCTATATATTTGATAACCGTGTACACACCTTGAACTTCGTCTGGAATATAAAATCTTTTCAGCACATGTTGAACGTAAGAAGCTGAAACTGCTGCACCAAATTGGCACCAAGTCGAATTTTGATATTCATCATTTGCCCACTTTGCAATAGATTTACAGGACAGCCAGGGAACTCCAGAGTTCTGGCATGTTACATATACCCCTAAAAACGATAAAATTGACGTTTTCGTTGACTTTTTGGGGAACATCGGAAAACTTTAATGTCATACACTTGAGCTTTAGTCCGAACGGTGACATGTTTCTGTTAACTTTCTGACGAGCTTTACCTCTCCACGAGCCTCTGGTTAGAGCCTCTAATTGGTCATCAGAAACTTGCAGATTTGATCCCTATTTGGGCACTGGCATCCCAAGCTCACAGGTTCCAATAGTGTAAATAACGGGTGTGTGGCGAAACATTTGTAACACCGCGAGTGCGTAGCACGAGAGTAATTTCAATTTTGAGAATAATTTCTGACATTAATTTTTAGTTCAAACCTATAAAAACTGTAAATAATTTTATTTCTTCTTTATCTTCTGTATTTCAACGTAAATAAAAGCTCAGACAATAATATAAATTTTCACGTTGTTTATTTAGATTTTGTGTTTAAAATTTCTGCACTCGCGTGACCTTGCGGAATGCACGCGGGCTCGTATATGTTCTGATAAATCTTTAATATATCAGTACAGTTTATAACCAATCAGAAACGAATAAATTGCTAAAATGATATTAGTTATAAAGTTGGTTGCATCTTTTCATTAGAAATAGAGCATGCATGTCTATCTAATTATTCTTTATGCACAACCATTTTTTCCTCGGCGTTGGAAAATTTAAAAAATTCAACCGGGACGACGCTTCAAACTCACAAGATTAAACTTACCAAAAATTTTTTGTTTATAAGTTCTTTGTATGTTTGCATGGCGATAAAACATATAATACTTTAAACATATAATAGTTTATAATAGTTTATATGCAGTAATAAATTTACGTGGTGTTTCCACAAAAAAAAACTATTATAGTTATTCCGATCGCTTCCATTGGTATACCTACTTTTCGACGCCGTGTCTATTCCAATGGTTCCCGCTTTGTGCGAATCCCTCTTTTTGTCGTCACCATCTTGTAAACCTGTCGTAAACTGACCAACATGGACTTTCGGTATTACCACATTTTCACAAGGACCAACCCATGCAAATTTCCCACGGTCGAACAAATGCACCAATCCCAAATTGCAGTCATACGTTGTGCGATCAAAATTTGACAAACCTTCCTCCTGTCGCTCAGGAAAGTAAACTTGTGATGATACCACGACATCACCAAGGAAATGTGCTTCTTTCCTTACACCATCGCAAACTCCCAGACTAACAATAGCTTTCGGTTTAAGTTCTTGGATTGTTTCATAAACCAGAACGTCATGACCTGACGAAGCGCCGGTCTTGCCGAAGTGTGGCGCTTTCAAGAGCGTCACTTTATTGCTACCGATTTCTCCAAACCAACGGTTTTTGTCACTTTCGTCTTTCTTGCTTGGTATTTCGACATTGTCTAATATTTTTTGCGCTTCATTAAACTCCGTGTCGTCCATTGTCAGCAAAAGAACATCGTTAAAATTTTTTTTAAATTCGGAGTCAGCCGTGGTGGTGCATTGACCTAAACAAATGAACATGCGGACAAATAAAGAAACTAACAACGAAAAATAAGATTGGCAGACGGACGGGCCGAGTGACAGACGGAGGAGAGTTTTATTTTTATTTGCCGAGACAGGAGAATCTGCAAAGTGAAACCATGCACATAATGCACGTTGGCGGTTCCTGGGAATCGATCCCGCTAGTCAACTAATGATCGCAGGTCTAGACTGTGCCGGGGGCAGTATAACCTGAAGTTCAGGCCCTATCACAGAATAGGGCCTGATACAAAACCTATCTAAAGTGTGGGATTCCCGTCCACCTGGTGGACGGGAAATCTGATTGGTTGATCAGCATCATGAAGGATTTTGATTGGTTGCAAGTT